GGGTGGGGCCGGGCCTCCCCGCCCAGCCGCGGGCAGGGCGCTGGGTGGGGGCCCGGCGAGGGTGGGGGGTGGGGTCCAAGGTCGCCCACAAGCACAAGGCCGCCCCAGTGGGGGGAGGGGAGCCTGCTGGCCGGCTCTCCCCTCCCTTGGCAGCCAGAGCAGACGTGGGGAGGCAGCTCCCGGTCTGCCCGGGCTTTCCTCCCGCCCCCAGCCTCACGCACCCGGACAGTGGCACCAGGCTGCCACTGGATAATCCCCCCCCCTGGCGTGTTAAAGGGGGGAGCCCTGGGGGGGAGGGGGAGGACACGACACCCCACCCCATCAGACTGGCTGTGCTCAGATTCATCCAGAAAATGGCACGGAGAGGAGAAATCGCTCTGCCAGCCCCCTTGGAGCCGTGGAAGTCTCTAAGCTGGCAAGTTGCTGCAGAGGCTGGAATGTGGAGACCAAGCCAGTATTGTAAAGGCTTCAGCATCACTCGCTCAGGCTAGTAGGACCGAGGGACTCCTCTACCCCTGCCCGTGTTCAGGGCCTTCCTCCTCCTCTGAAACCACAGCTAATCCTGGAGTTGGGGATCAGAGAGCTAGAAATCAAGCCCATGCTTTGGGCCCCGAGCCAGTCTAAAAAGCTCTCCCATAGAGGCCAGGGAATATGGCTGAAGGTCATTGCACGCTTCCCATCGTGAACCACGGGCTCTTGTGGGGCTGATCCGTTAGATAACAAGTGGGTGAGTTGTGGTGCCCATGGTTTGGAGCTGGTGGTTGGTTCCTAGCTACCTAGCTGGGGAATGGAAGTGCTGCTGTCTGTTCTCTGTCGGTCAAGGTTTATACTGAGACCGTGGGAAAATGTTAAATGTGAATTTGTTGAACTTGTATGTAGCTTACCGTTCACAAGATGTCGGACCTTTCTGTCATTCTTCTCAGGGATCTTTATGCTCCCAAAGTTTGTGCATTAGCTACTGCTTGGTCTAATAAAATGCATCACATTGAGGACCAATATGGCTACCTACATCTCCTCCTTACTACAGCATTTTTAGCAGACTTCCCAGTGGTTCCCTGGAGGGTCCATTATTTCCAAGCAGCAGCCTGGACAGCGAATAGTCCTGATTCCCTGTAATGGCCATTTGGCAGGATTTACAGCTGGTTCCTGAGTTAAACTAACAAGATTACCCACCTCTCTGCTAATTTTCTGCTATTAAATGTATTATTTATATTGTTCCCAAAGTGTATTAGGCACTGTATGGACAAATAGAGAAGATGCCTGCACTGAAGGGTTTACAGTCTAAGTAGGTAGAAGGATGAGGATTGGGGGTTGTGTGCAGCGCAACAGCAGAGAATTGGTTAATTCCATGATTTTTGTTAGTAGTTTGGTTGAGGAGATGTGACAGAATATTACAGGTTGTTTTGAACTGAAGAAACAACCTATGGTCATTTATGAGGGTTGATTTGGAGAAAGCAGCAGGTTTACGGATTCCAGCAGTTTGCTTACGGATGTTGTTTTTAAACTTTTTTTTTTTTTTTTAAATCTATGAATGGGTTATTGGAGAGGCGCTATTGCTGTTTAATATTCGTTCTAGCCGTTGTTCAGGCTTGCTCTGGGAAAAGGAGGAGTGCAGCGGCACAACCCAAATGTGGATGAGGTGGTGGGATTTTTCCACCATGCCTTAGTTGTGCTAAGTTTGTGCAAAACTAGGAAGAGTTTTGCAGTGCTGGAGTTCTAATAAATTAGTGGATCAAAGTAGTTCTGTGCTTTATGCTGATCTGTGGGTCTTCGTGTGGCCTTTTTTGAGCTCAGAAATGCACCCTGTTGCGTTGTGGTACAGGGACCTGATAATACTTAGCCATACTCTATACTTACTTTTCTTTAGGGGGGAGGGATAGCTCAGTGGTTTGAGCATTGGCCTGCTAAACCTCGAGTTGTGAGTTCAATCCTTGAGGGGCCATTTAGGGATTGGGGGCAAAAATCTGTCTGGGGATTGGTCCTGCTTTGAGCATGCGTTTGGATTAGATGATCTCCTGAGGTCCCTTCCAACTCTGATATTAAGAATATTAAGGGCATGGTTTTCAGGGTTGCTGAGCACTGGAAGATCCCATTGACTTTAGTTGGACTTGGGGCTACCCATAACCTCTGAATGTCAGGCCCATAGTGCTTTACAACTCCAGTACTAATCTGTATGAATGTGAATTGAAGACGGAAAGTTTTTTTTTTCTTATGGCTATGCTTTTGCAGCCATAAGTAACTGCATTTTATCAATGAACCCAAAGCTCATTAATAAGTTAGAAAGTTTAAAGTTGAGGCACCTTGGCCCAGATCCTCAAAGGTATTTAGGCTCCTAACTCCCACTGATTTCAGTAGAAGTTAGGAGCCTAAGTACCTTTGAAGATCTGGGCCAGTGTTACCGTTGAGCTGTTAAATTAGCATTTGGTTTACCTAAGTGGTTATTTGGGTGCCAAAGTATGCATTTTAGAACCCAGTTGTAGAATTGAACATCAGAACATAAGTGCCCGTGTTTGAAATTTAGGGCCCCAAACTTGAAAATCAAACCAAGACATTTGAGACGTGCCGTTGAATCTTGATTAAAAGTGACAGTCTTAGGATGCTACGTTTATTGAACGTAAAGTCATCTGTGACAGACGATTAGACTTCCACTTGTTATCTTGCTAATCAGAACAATAAACAGTCATCCTCAAGTTTGGAGAGACCAGCATGTCTTTGTAATTAAAAGCCTTTTGATGAGCAATATTTGAGAGAGACAGAAAATTAACATCTTGGATGGTGAGAAGTATTTGTGCCAAATCCCATGACCTTTTGATCCGAAATAGGATTTTTTTTTCTGTTCAGAACTCTCTTCTGATTGGTCACATCGCCAGCCAGTCAGTAGTGTGTCCATGCCTTCACTACCTGAACTCCGAGCATCCCGCTAATCTTGGACCAGCTCCAGTAAGGTGTCAGAACAGGAGTAAATGAGGTCAGACAGGCATTGGGATTCTATACAAATACCTGAGACAATTATTTTGTTTCTCCTCATACTCCCATATAGTATCTTGATGCTGTACATAGTCTTGCATCACGTTGTCGAAAGCCCAAACGTTGCAGCTGGATTCTGGAGAAAGGACTGGATAATGTTCTTAGCTGTCCAAATGGCAGTAGTCTGTTCTTGTGGAGCAGGACATAGGGTGATCCCTTGTGGAGTCAAAGAAGAATTTCCCCCCAAAGACCCGGTGCATGATGTGATTTTTCACTTTCCTCTGAAGCATTAGGCTTTGGCCTCTGTTGTATTTGGGAGACAGGACCATAAGTGGGTTCTGCTCTGATATGATAGGGAGTGGAACGCTCTACTAAAGGGACTGCTCTGGTATGGCTTTAGTAGGAGACAAGACTAGATTAGGGGAGCTAGTGGTCTGCTCTTATATGGCAAGGAGTGGGAGACGGACTCATGATGTCCCTAGCATAGCTGCAGGTGCAGACAGGACTTGTAAATCCTCATTCCCTAATGGCAAAATGCCCCGGAGTTCCCGGTGGGTGTTTAGCACTTCCATTACTTCTTTTCTTTTTCATTTTTTCTTTCCATGCCTGCTGTTCTTTAAAGCCCATCAGAGTCATGGTCTGAAATTCCACAGAGTTATACCTCGGTCTCTGGAAGGGCATGTAACACTCCTTTCACAGCAGATCATGCATGTGGAGCAGTGCCGCCCAATGTATTTTAACACCATCTATTGTTCTGATTGCGCTCTTAAAGTCCTGATTGACATACCCAGCTATTCCCCACTGGAAACCAGGAAGTAGACAATTTTCCCCCCCCTTCCTGTTTCTGAATGCATCTCCAGTCCAGTGCTTTGCAAGTCACTGGAGCTTGGGCTTGTAGCTACAGGTAGGTGTTCTCTCCTTACCCAAAGTCTCCTGCCTCAACAGGTAGCGAGGACAGGAGGTGCTGTTCAGCATTCCCTTCTTTTGTAGCTATACAATCAAGTATTTTGCTGGAGGAAAAAAAAGTTAATGGCAGGACACCGTTCCTAGGAATTTATTTTATGGCATGCTTACTCCTGGGATTCGTTTTTGCACTACAAGTAATGAGCAATAAGACAAGAACTATTTGCTTATCCACAAACCAGGCATTACATAAGTGCCGATCCTGCCTTGTGTGCTTTGCTTTGTCAGTAAACCTAAACCTTCGTCTTTTTATTTTTTCCTTCCTGGTGTGGAAAAGATTATTGGCCTTTGAGGCAATCAAAATAACATGAGACCTTTAAACTCTAAAGCCAGAGAGAGCAGGAAAGGAAACGGCATGCGTATTTGAGGGAGGGTTTTGGTCCAGGGGGAGGGGAGTAGAGACTATAAAATGGTTGCAGTTTTGAAGATGATTGATTGGGCCTCGCAACCCGAGGGCAGTGGGGAAACTGGGTATCAAAGTGGTCCTGCTTTGAGCAGGGGGTTGGACTAGATGACCTCCTGAGGTCCCTTCCAACCCTGATATTCTATGATTCTATGATCCAAAGCTAGCCTTAATATGTCTGTTTGCAAGACAGAATAGTAAATGTGTGTGAGATCACGTGGGGGTGAGACGGGAGGGTTGTGTGAATTGAGAAGATAATTTGTTTAATTTGTAGACAAAACAATAAAGGATGGGACTGCAAAGAAGTGATTCGGGAGCGAAAGGGACGAGTCCTGAGGTTCCCAGTTCTGCAGGTTGCTCAAGGTTGACGCTCTGGGAGGAGCTCTGGTTGCACAATGGGAGTCCTGCTTGAGTAAGGAATGCAGGATTTGGCCTCAAATGCCTGGTGTCCACTCGTGCCCGATCTTCCAAGCAGTTAGAACAGAAACATGGCCTATGTCGGAGGCCGTATCCTCACCCTGTCTTCAAGTCCAGATGGAAATTTATAGACTGACGCCCCCTCTCCCCCACCATGTGCCAGAGTCCCTCCATGGGTTCCTGCCAGGTGAGGTCAAAGATTCCTTCCTAGGTGGTGTGCTGGGGCGTGGGTTAACACTGGAGCCTGTTTTATTTTTTTAATGGCGATTCTTCAGGCTGATGCCAAGACTATTTGGTGACGGGGGCCGTGTGTTGCCCGTTGAAATTTTGTTGGTTGCTTTCAGGTTTACAGAGCCATCAAGACACAACACGTCAACTCTGCCCTTAAAAACAGAAGCCCTCACATCGTAACCAATTCAGTTCCAGGCTTTCTCCCTCGCCCCCCACCCCACTTTGCAAAAATGGTGAAGTCTGAGGTTTCCGAAGGGAGTTAAGCGCCCAGAGACAATAAGAGTTGGACATTTCAAGAAGTAAAGCTGTCTTTGAAAACCCTATCCGAACTGTGGGTTTGTAGTGATGCATTCTGGTCACTTTAAATATTTCCCTCTTAAAAATAAGTAATCTTAAAATCACCACAATCTGTTTGTTTCTTTATGGCAATACCAGAGCACCTTAGGGGGAGGAGAAAGTCCATTGGATTGTGATAGGCATGCAGATAAATTTGCTCTTGGCCTTGAGAGTTTGATCCAGCAGTGAAAAAAAGACCTTCCATTAAACCATGTGTATGGGGGGAGACCATCATTGATGTCTGACTGTTTGAATAGTGTACTATTGTAGTGTACCAGCAAACATACCCCCCCAGGTTTGGTACACACACAGGTCTTGACTGTATTGCTGCATATATACATGTATCAAGACACATTCCTGTGAGATTAAATGTGGTCCCCGATGACACAGGCGATAATTGGCAAGGAGGT